CTCTTCTCTTCTCTTCTCTCTTCTCTTCTCTTCTCTTCTCTCTTCTCTTCTCTCTTCTCTTCTCTTCTCTTCTCCTCTCTTCTCTTCTCTACTCAAAGGGGAAAGGAAAAGATAGAAGCAGCCAGGACCATCCCTGCATTAATCAACCCCTTTTGGTAAACCTATTATTCAACAACTTGGCTCTTCCTGGGCTACCCTCTTGGAAAATTGAAAAAGCTAATTTGTTTAAAAGGAGTTTAATAAAGGGATCATCCATTTCAGCAAGCTCTCGGTTTAGCAAATGGCCAATAGAAAGCAAAAGAGAAAATTAAAGAACTCAAAGGGAAAAGGAAAAGATAGAAGCAGCCAGAACCACCTGGGAGTAAAAAAAGCACAATCCATAAATCCAGAAAAATGGCACCCCCAAAAAAAAAACTTTTCTTTAATCACTCTCCATTTCAAAATGGTAGGGTCCTGGAATAATTTTCGAACAACTTTTCTTAAATCAAGGTCCATAAGCAAATCGTGACTTAACATTAATCCCATTGGCCATGAGGGTTAATGACAATGTTGGTTAGTGATAATGTTCGCTTATCAAGTATTTAACCCTCATCATAGTTAATCAATAAAAGGCAGTGATGGTTCATGAGGGTTACTTGATAAGGTTGAGTAACACACTGGTTCATCATGAACTGTTGGTTGTTAGCAATTGTGAATGATTGGTAGTAAGACTCAATAAGCAACAATGATGGGTTTACTGTAAGTTTCAACCCAGCTTACCGGTTTACAATTGGCTGTTGGTTTTTTCAGCATGGTGAATGATGGTTGATAGTAAGTAGGGGATAATAAGCAAAAGTATCGGTTGATGTTGGTTGACCATGGATGATCATGGATGATCATCGGGGATGATGGCCAAAGTCACCAAGAACTATTGGTCAATGCCAAGCATTGGAAGGACCATTCCAGCCAGCAATAGGAGATGACAAGCATCCAAAAGCAGCAAGGATAGGTCAACACGAAAACCGGTAGACATGTTTGTGAAGCAGCTATTTAGCTAGCTTTCTTCTATCGCAAGCCAGCCTGTTGTCCCCCCTTGAGATAGCGCCAAGTATGCCAAAGGCGTTACACCAAAGTAGACAAGACTAGCGTTCCAACAGGTGGGTACCAGCGATGGTGTGACCAAGATTTCAGATTGTGCAATGATCAATATAAGATATCTTTGAAATAGTTGGTTTGTTGCTATAAATGATTTATATTGGATGATTTAGGGGTACCCCCATTTTGAGAAACCACCATATGCATTCTTGGATGATTGTTCTATTAGACATGGTTTTCCTCATCAAACTGTCAGGTTCAGGTGATGTCATCAGCTTCCACGATGAGTACAGTAATATCAAACACCAACCAGTATGGCTTGTAAATTAAGCCAACAGGTCCCACTCTTGGAGGGTATCAAACATATTTACCATACCAGTCCACAAACTTGGTAGAATATCCGTAGAAATGATGGCACCTTGAAACTAGACATGGTTGTGGGTGTCTCAAGTCAAAAAGGATCATGATTTCAAGATGGGCTAGGGAACAACCAGCCCCCTTGGGCGCGTTGCATCCATTATAATCATGATATTGACCATTCTATTTACCACTACATTAGCCATCCTATCAACCATTCTATTAACCATTCTTATTAACCACTATTAACCACCAATCAGAGGGGTTGGTTCAACCACCAACCAGGTGTGAGGTGTTCATGTTGGATCAGGAGCTCCCAAACAACAGCAGGAATCAGAGCCAGGCTGATCGTTGGACGTTGCATACTCAGAATCGCATAGAACTCAACACATCCAAACCAGAATTCTGTAAGGTACTCAGAAAATAAGAAAAAGGAGATCCATACAGACATTTCCTTCTGTAAAATCATGAGTACCTTACAGAATTCTGGTTTGGTGCTGGAAATGTATGGGATCATAAGAATGTGATGGAAACAGCTGGAAATCATTGGTCTCCTGGAGGAAATCATTGGTCTCCATACAGAATTCAGCTGAACTCTGGAAACAGCTGGAAATCATTGGTGTAAACCGCAGAGAAATCGGTCTTTTCCTTCTGACCTGCCACGGTGTCGCCAGGTCATGGATCCAGCCACGGCAAAGACGGCTGTGGCGCGGTCCATGCAGGAGCGCCGGTGGAAGGTGGATAGTTCTGGTGCTGTCTCGTGCTTTCTCCAGCCATAGGGGTGCCTAAAATGGATGGTTTATTGCCGTAAATGGTCCGAAAAATGGAAAAATGGAAAAACATGGATGGCTTATTACCCTCAATGGTTATTATTGGATGATTTTGGGGGACCCCTATGACTTGAGAAACCATCAAATAGGGGGCCAAAAGGTTGGTTTATTAAGAAACAACGATTCATATAGGATGATGACTGGGGGTACTCCTATTTTGAGAAACACTCATATATGGAGGTTTTGGTTGGCAGTGGTTGGTTTCTACTGGAGACCGGCGGAGCCAACGGCGGAGGCAGCTGAAGCAAAAACGAAGGAGGAGGCAGCTGAAGCAAACGCTGGTGATGTTTTTTTATTGACAGCTGCAATCAACCATGGTCATCAACCATTCATCGACCGTGGCGACCATTAACCTACTTAGTAAGCGGGAGGCACCGCTGTCCCCATCCTCGTCAATTCCCTCACCCCATCCGCATTCTCTCATTTGGTCCCGTGCCCATCCCCCGATATCAACCGTGACCATAACCAACAACTGACTACCAACGAGTACCACCAAACCATTGACATTTGCTGTCAAAAAAACTCAATGAGATTAACATTAGCATTAAATGATGTTTTTTTTTGAAACACTGGTATGCAGCACATTTTACGATCCCCTATAAGCATGATTGATAAGCCGCACTAAGTGAGGATGCACATCCAAGTATCCCATCCAATCTGGCTCCAAATCTTGTGACAGGCGCAGAACATCTTAAAGACAGTCTACGCAGCCGCCGCCAAGGTGCAGCATGAACGTTTTTGAAACTGACATGCGCAAACATAATGAGATTAACATTGACACTTAAACGATGAAGCTTTTGGGAACCGCTGGTATGCAGCACATATTGACCTTGAATCATAGTGATTGTGCATCAAGCATCGGTAAGTAGCTTCCAGACCCACAAGCAGTTGCGATCGCCATCAATCCGGATGGCGTTCCGGTTTAGCAATCGACTGGCCATCGTGGGGGGACATATGCCCACTGGATCCCACTGGTATGCACTAGTTCATGTATACATACTTTTGGTCAGCCCTGAAACATGATTTGTAATCAAGCAAGGGATCTTTGGCTGGTAAGACGAAGCCGATAATGGTTCCAACCCTACACCAAGTACGAGCTTTGTCAACATCAGTTGATTGGCGGGTATATTCCCATAGTTCACTATTCATACCATCTTCCTAGTTGGGCCCTGCTATGATAGTTGATGTTCCACCCGGCTTCTTTGGCCGAGCAAGTGCTTCTGGACATGCATTCTGGTTCTCCAATATTCTATGGGGAAAGGCGCCGTTGCATGATCACCTGCCTAGGATGATGTCGCAAAGAATTTGAAAATTGAAATTTGAAATTTGGTCTGTTTGTATAGGCTGCGAGACCAGGTTGACACACATTCCCTGTAAAATGTTGGCTCAAACCAGGGCCCTTGAGTCTTACCGCGACGCGTAAAACAATTTGGACTGCGCGATACTGATACCAAATTGATATTGGTAGCGGAGCGGGTGACGACTCGACTCCGAGTACGCGGCAGATCCAGACCTTTTCCGTTGTTGTTGTTTGTATTTGGCCCAATTGACTTTTTCCTTTGTGACTTTTTACTACCTCTGACCTCCCGGTAGGCAGAGTGCGACAGAAACGTCTGACCTCCTTGTAGGCAGGCTTGGAAATCGGTGGTCCACCCTGTGGACACCCTTGCACGCGTGAGGAATCGTCGAAATGTCGGTCGCAGGTTTGAGGTACAACCCCGACCGCGCAACAAGCGCGCCATTGGAAACCAAGTCAGGATCATATATCTACAATGGTGATGCTCAATCATTTCATGACTGGCAGTTCCGTACCTTGTTGAGATGCAAACTGTTTGACCAGTCCCAGGCACAAAGTGTTGATGCCGATACTTCTGGTGCAGATTCCTTTGAATTGCCAGACCCAGAACCCTATGAAGAAGATGTCCCCACCACAGAAGCTACCCCCGCTGCTAAGGCTGCAGCAGCGAAGCCCGCAGCAACTCCACCTTTGCAGGCCGGGACACCCAAGAGTGCCCGAAGTCTGAAGGGGAGTAAGCCTCCGGACCGAAGCCCCTTGGTGAATAAGGTGGTTGAAGGTCTGAGAGGCGACGCCTTTTTAATAGCGCGGGACATGGGACTAGAATTTTTGATCGTCCCTGGAGGGATCGAACGACTAGTAGAACTAGTGCGCCAAAACGTCTTCCCTCGAGCAACGGAGGAAGCGAAGGAACTCTTTAGGATGGGTCAACGACAAGGAGGACCCTTCTCCAGGCAGTCTGGGGAATCCATGTTGTCCTTCACGCAGCGATGAAGACGTTGGTGGCGGATCCTCCAAGAGATGGACAGCTCGATTAGCTTGTCCGAAACAATGCGTGTTGAGCTACTCTTGGAGATGTCAGGGATTAGTAGACAAGAGATTCTGGTGACCAAGCCTTGTGCGAAGGGACAAACGTTTGAGGATATTGTTAAGGTTCTCATTCAACATCACGGGACCATCCATCTGAAGGAGGGATCCCGATCGTGGACAGGACGCCCCGCTCAACCTTTCAAAGGACCTCCCAAAGGTAAAGGTAAGTCGTACGGAAAATCATGGAACACTCGGACGGCTTATGTGACCTATCCCGAAACATGGGAAGACGAAGAGCATGACCATCATTGGGGGAAGAGCCTGAGGATTATGTTGGTTTACTTGGAGGGATTGAGGAAGAAGAAGAATACGTTGATGATGATGGTGAACCCCTCTATGATGTGTTTGATGATGTGGATGAGTATGAAGCCATTGCACTGAATGCACTTGATGACTTCGATGAATCTGATGAGCGCCAAGTTGGCGATGCCATTCAGCTTCAGCTTGCAGCTCACATGGCCACTGGAAAGGCTAAAGGAAAAGGTAAGGGAAAACCTTTCAAAGGCAAATCCAAGGGCAAAGGCAAGTTGGTTCGTTCTCATCTCACCCTTGACCAGCGCCGCGAATGCCTTCAGGCTTTGAAGAGCAAGTCGAAATGCTTGAGGTGCGGCGGAATGGGTCATTGGGCTGGAGACCGGGAGTGCAAATTCCCAGGACGTAGTCAGGGGCAGAAGGGTGCTACTAGCAACCCGAAACCCACTGCCAATTTTGCCTTCAGTGATTCATCAGAAGATGATGATTATGTGCATCTAGGAGCAGGGTCGTCCACGACGCCCACTGCGAACATGGCATTCCGAACCCCGAAAGCGAAGACTAAAGCATCCAGCGCACCTCGATCGTCACGAGAGGGCACTGGAGGAACTTTGGTTGTTGAATCCGTGAATCTCATGAGCCGCCCTGCCGGAAGTGAGAATGTCTTCCCAGCCGGACAGTTCAAAGGTATGACATTCTGGCAAGTGTTGCATCGACACCCTGAAATGTACAAATGGATCAAGAAGACGGGCTCTAAGAGTGCATATCTGTTGGAGTTTCAACGATGGATTGACATGTACTTCTGGTATCAAGGGAATGATGTTTGGTTGAAGGATGTCCCCGAGGATATTCCTGAGATTGATGTAGTCATTGCTGGCCAGAGGAAGATGTCCACTGCCTCGAGAATCCCACCGAATCCACCACTTCCAAAATGCAGAGAGTGTAAGGATTTCTCGAAGAAAGGCTCCACGGCTTACACGGTGAAACTGACATGTTTGGATTGTGGCAACAGCAGCACTACCAAGAGGGACTTGAGACCCACTCAAGATCCCGCTACATGCAAGCATGAGGATCTTGATCACCGTGGATCCAGTAAGGGAGTCCATAGAACATTCTGCAAGACATGTTGCATATTCATAGATGAAATGCCCATGCCTATTCGAAAGGAACGTGTTGAAACTGCTAAGAAGGTTGAAACCATCAACCCCATGAAGCTTCCCATTGTTCAAGAGTTGGTTCGCGAGGATCCAGATGTGTTGGACCCCGCTCAATTGGAAGCCATTTTGCCTGAGTTTGCTGCCCTTGTGTCATCCCCTGCTGAAACTGAGGCCATTACCACCTCCCGACTCCATGAGCTTCTCCAGAATGCTGTGGCTGCAGTGCTTGAAGAGGAGTCCGGGTATTCTCTGGTGGATGGCCAAATGGACCATGAGACGCCAGCTGCTTTCATCGGTGTGTGTTATCATTCTGATGACCATGAGGAAGGGGATCATGAGCCTCCGGGTGATTTGGTTCATGTCCATGGAGAAGTGAGGGACATGTACTCGGATGATGACCCCAATGTGTACTGTGTTTTGGATGAAGGTTGCAACAGTACTTGTCATTCAGCAAAGTGGGCAGCCCAAGCAATTGAAAAGATGAGTCGTCTTGGTTATGCATGCCCATTGACAACCACCTCATCCAAGAGCTTTACTGGATTAGGTTCCAAAGGGTCCAAGACTGTTGGTCTCAGAAGCATGCCGTTTGCACTGTCCATGGATGATTTGGATGGACCATGTAATGGAGTTTTGGAATCATATGAGTTGTCTGAGGGAGACACACCTCTACTGTTGTCATTACATGCACAAGCAAAGCTCGGTTTGGTGAAGGATCTTGGCAAGGGGATTGTCACCCTGAAGGGTAGAGTACTCCCAGTTTATCGATGCAGTAGGACCGGGTTGAACATGCTTTGCATTACATCGGGCCTTGTGGACCCGGGAGACATGAATCTGAAGGTGCCAAAATGCCACCGATCTTTTCGTGTTGCTTTTGCGGCTCGATCTCGTTCAGACTCTCCCAGCATCGACACCATGACGGAGCCAACGCGCGGTTGGCAGTTTGGAGACAAAGGGGCCTGCAAGACCAAGCTCCAAGAGCTTCTTGGGCAGGACCTCGATGTCTTGATTGTGACTGGGGGTGCCAAGTGGGGCGACCCGATGGATGGGCTGAAGGCCCCGAAGGGGTGGACGGTTCATCGCATTGATGTGAGGGACATTGGAGATCCCGACCATGACAAGTCGCTCCGAGGACACCTGGGATCGCACCCCGGGATTTTTGGGCCGGTGATGAACTCTGAGAATTTCAAGAAGTTCATGGAAAAGTTGCACAAGATCTCATTGAAGACTGGTAAACATCTCATTGTGGTCACGTGCAATGGAGGCCGACATCGAGCAGTGGCATCAGGACTTTTCTCCAAGTTCCTCTTCAAGAACCTCGGTTGGGACACGGCTCTCATTCACATGGCATCCTATGGATGGAGCCAGATGTCCTGTGGTGGCAAGTGTGATGATTGCAATCAGGTGAAGGTTTGCAAAGCAATGAGCCTGGAGTATGCCTTCACGTACCCCAAGAAGGATGAGAAGGAGGACGATGACAAGGGGGATGGCAAGCAATCCCGAGAGGAGAAGGAAACTCGTCGTGTGAAGGTCGAGGAAAAGAAGGAGGAAGAGAAGGAGGAAAAACTCAAGGACACTGAGAAAGGAAGCAAGGCTGACTCTGAGGAATATGTAAGAGCAGTCATTGGGGCACCTGCGGGATCCCGAGTGGCAAGGGTGATCCCTGCGGCTCAGCGATTTCGGGCCGAGGGTAGAGGCACCGAGCCATCCAGTGCGGCTCCAAGCGCTGGTGCTTCAGTGGAGGACGATCTCAGGAAGCAGGTGGCTGACCTGGCTTCGATGATGAAGTCCCTGATGGAGCGTGAGCGCGGTGGACCTCGAACCCGTTCGGATTCACGAAGCCGAAAGAGGAGCAGAAGTCGAAGGCGAAGCAGATCCCGAAGGAGGAGCCGAAGCCGCAGAAAGAGCAGGAGCCGAAGGAAGAGCCGA